TATTAATATTTGTTTTTAAATTTAGTTTTTATAGTAATATATATTATTAAAATTTTATATTATTTTTTTACTTAGGTCTTTCTAAATAAATTTCAGTTTTCTAAATTTTTTAAATTTATAAATTTATTTTGAATTTGCATTACCTAGCATTAGTTTATATAACTAAAGTTATACAAATAGCTTGTAATTTGCTATTTATGCTAATAAAATTATAGTTATAAACATTTTATATTAATTAATTAATAAAAAATATTTTATTTTAATTAATTAATAAATAAAAAACAGTTGTTATAATACAAATAATTGTTTAAATTTTTTGCTATTAATAAATTTTAAATTCTTAACTTGTTACTTAGAAAAATACAACTTAAATATTTTATTAAGTTGTTATATTTTATGATTTAAGTAATTAAAATTATATAAATAAAATAAAAAATCAAATTTTTATAATTATTATTGCACTAATATTTAATAGTTAAAATGTTATTAATATTAATAAATTTAAGTACAATAAAAATAATATATTTAAGTAAAATAAGTTTTTATTTTTGAGTACAAAAAATATTAAAGTTGTTATAAACAAATTCTATATAATTAAAAATAAAATATTAATAACAAGATAAATAAAAGTTTAAGAATATATTCTGATTTCTAATAACTAATTATAATTAATAAAAGAAGCTTAAATGTAATTAAAATTAAAAGTAACAAAAAATAAAAAAAAATATTAAAAAGCTATTTTATAACAATTATTAAAGTTATAAATAGTTAATATAAAAATTTAATTAAATATAATATATAAATTATAAAAGTTAGTATAAAATTTTATTTTAATCTAAATAAAATTGATTTTTTCTAAAATTTAAAATTAGTTTAAACCAGAATTATGTTTATACTAGCTGAGGTTTTTAATATAAAAACCTGATTAATATTAATGGTTTACTTTAATTCTAAATTTTAAATAAGATCATTTTGATCCGAATTATAATAAATTTTTTTTAAAATTAATATTTTAATAATATATTTTTATATATTTAATGCTAAGTAACTTGAAACATTATAGTAAAAAAATTAACCTTATTAAGATTGAAACAATTTTAGCATAACTAAAATTAATTTTAAAAGGTATTACTATAAAGAAAAAAAAATTTAAAGCATAAATAATGATTAAAATAGTCAAAAATATTAGATTTAAAGTATAACAACATAATAAAGCAAGCCTACCAAAAAAAACAAGCAACTATGCTAGTGCAAACTATAAGTCAATTTATCTTCCTGTCATTTTACAATTTTTAAAAATACAAAAATATCAAATATACTTGGAGGCTTTAAAACAATTTCAAAAGTATGAAAGTAATAATTGTTATAAAAATATGCAAGTTCTTCAGGAGTAAATTAATATTATTATTTTATTTTTACTACGTATTTTTATTTATTTTATTTTTACTACGTATTTTTATTTTATTTTATTTTATTTTATTTTATTATACGTACGTATGTGAAAAACAGCTTAGCTGTTCTATTTCATGCAAAAAAAAACGCACTATTTTGTAACTTTAAACAATGCTATAAAGACAGTCTACTGGGACTAAAACCAACTAGAATGAATTGAACTACTCTAAACCCACTTTAGCCCACTTTAAACCCACTCTAAACCCACTCTAAACCCACTCTAAACCCACTTTAACCTCCGTTTTAAAGCCACTTTAAACACACCACTAAACAAGGAAATATTAAATGGGATGCATTTCAGATCAGGAGATCGGCTATCGATTTGGTATTCTGTTTGACAAACGGATGTCAAATGTACAAAAGATGTGATAAATGATGGTAGTTAATTACACCTTAAATAGCGACAAAGAGTGATAATTAACTAAATCTTAAATATAGACAAAGGGTGATAATTAACTACACCTTAAATATAGATAGTTTACTACTACTTCTTAAAATAAACGATGTTACTATTACAACAGTTATGGAGAACGTGAATCCAAAATCGCATGTTTCATAGTCGCATGTTTCATAATGTTTATAATTAAAGATTTGTGAATAATGATATTATAGTTTTATCTTGTTATTAAAATAAAGCTAAAAATAGAATGAACGGATAATCCGAATTTTATTAATGTTTAATTAATTCGAATAAAAATTTGATTATATTAAAAAAATTTTTGTTATCTATCATCATGATTTACAAGTTCGTCGTCGTCGTTGGTTGAATTATAATTATAATTCAGAAATTTTGGTTTGTCATAACATGAAAAAAATTATGATGGAATCTGTACGAAAAAAAATAATTTTTTTTATCCGAATATTAGCTAGAATTAGTTAATAACGGATAAATAGAGAAAGAAGCAAACTATATTTTCAATACTAATTATGGAACAGTATATCAGCATTTACTTTTAACTAAAAGTAATATTGTTATAGAAATAATTTAGTTAATTACTAAATTTAGTCGACTAATTCTATGATCATGCAAAGATTTGTCATAGTTCATTTCTACGCATATGATTGTTTATACTTGTGAAATTACTAATTACACGTAGATAGATAGGTAGATACACTATCATTATGCAGTACATATCGAACATATCGATATAGAATTTGAGTCAGTCAGTCTCGAGAAGTTTTATACGTACGTACGTACGTATTAGTATGTACGTTCGGTACTGTAATGTAATGTAGGTATATATTTAGGAGTATGTTTAGGAGTATATGAGTATATTTAGGAGTATTTAGGAGTGTGTGAGTAAGTTTAGGAGCATGTTTAGAAGTATGTTTAGAAGTATGCTTACGAGTATGTTTGTGGCATAATTATTTTCAGCATAGTAAAAATTTATTTATATGACAAGATGTTATTTATGACAAGTTATTTTTAGATTTAATAATTATCACGGAAAAATATTAAAGTCTCAATATTGTACAAAATATTAGGGTTATCGAAATTTATATAAAATCTTAATTTCGTACTTAAGTCTGTACACATCGTATGTTCGTTATGTACATAGCGCGATTTATTCGGATAGGTCATTGACATGTGGTTTAAATTATTAACGTTAACAGTTTGACATGATTAAATGCATATGATAATTTATTAATAAATTTTATATATAGAAAATTTACGTTTAATGATGTAATTCGATCACATGAACAAATAAAAGTTCCACCATGGAATTCGATAAAAATAATTTTTTTTTAGATTAAATGCAAGTAAACTAGACTTTATTAATCTATATTTTTTATTAAATATTATTCGGAGCATAGTGAACATTTAATTTTCATTTAATTTCTATTTAATTTCCATGTAATATTCATGTAATTTCCATGTAATTTAATATATTTTTATACATTCCGCATTTAATAAACAAGATTATCAAAAACGTAACTTTGGCGTCTCATTGTGTATTCGTGTAACTCAACAAATCCCGCGTGAACTAGAAATTTATCACGTGAAATTTATCTCGTAACTAACAGAACTAAAAGAATTGAATTCAAATATATGAAACATTTTGTTAATGTTTATACGATAGAATAAAAAACCAAATATAGATATGTATAAAAAATATATATATCAATCTTATTAGAATATTGGACAAGATCTTGATACGCCAAAAAAGAAGAAAAAATTTCCGATAAAACTTTAACCATGTTATATGAAATAAATCTCTTGATGTCAATATTTTTAAAATAAATAAATAAATAAATAAAATAAGATAATTTAGCTGTTTGTATTAGGATCCTGTTATATTCTTTTTCTGGAGGCATGATTTACACAAGAAACAAATATTCTTTACACTATTGCCAAAAATACTACGGAACAAAAATTAAAAAGTAATAACAAAAGAAAAGTATTGGATAAACAAACGATATGTGTGAGAAGAAAGAAATTTTGCATATTTTGGTGAAAATTTATTATTGTATCACTTTGATACCTATACTCGTACATATCTGATGCCTTGTTGGAATTAATAATAATATAAAGATGAAAAAGAATGTTTACGATTATATATTTATATTTATATTAAAAAAAATGCATATATATATATATATATATATTGAGGAAACAAACCGTTTGAATTTTGATTCGAAAATAAAAAAGTACCAATCAGGAATTCAGAAATTCAAAAATTGCCGTACTAAATAAATTATGCGTACATAGCCAATAATCGATATGTTGACCAATTTTAGTTCAAATGGAAAGATGGCGTCAGATGAGCTTTTAAAGAAAAAAAATAAAAAAACTATTTTACGTAAAAGTATTTTAAATAATTATTTGTGAAAGTATTTGTAAAAGTATTTGTAAATTTTGGTAAAAATTTGTAAATATGAAACTTTTTTGTGCCTGATTGATAAAAAAAGATTGTTATATTTTAATATTTTACTTTTTTTTATTATTATTGTAATATTGTGTTAAATAAATTAGTAATAAACGTATTTGATTTCTTTAGTAATTTAAACCTTAGTCCTTAAAAAAAAAAGCGTAATTATTTTTGTGCATATTTTTATAAGAAAGAAATTTACAGATCAAAAAAAATTAAAAAAAAAATTAACCTAGTAGCTTTTTTTGTGTATCGTAAAAAATTTTATCTATATATTATTAAAAAATAAATGATGTTTTTAAAACCCCAGTTTTTTTTTTTTTTATATGTACAAAAAAGTACCGATATTTAAAATAGCGATAATCAGAAATAAAGGATTATAATTTATACAAAAAAAACGAAAATTTAAAAAAAATTCTTCTTTAGGTAGTACTTGAATATTTATAAAAAAAAAATAGTTAATCGAGACTAATGAAAATTTTAAAAAAAGATTTTGCTTTGATTGAAAATTAATATATAATTTTTTTGTTTGCGTTTTAATCTATTATTTACTTTTATAAATGTGTCACGTGAAAGACAACATTTGATTTAATTGTTCAAAAAAAAAAAAACGTTTGTGATTGCGTTACCGTGAATTTACGTAAGTTTTTTATATTATTAAAAAATATATATATCGATTTAAAAATCATTGTTCGCATGATGTTTGAACGATAGAGCGCAATCAATCGCAGAAAATATGTCAATTGTAATTTCCGAAAGTTCATGTTGATTATCGTTAATCGACGAAGAGGAAAAAGGTGAACCGGGCGTTTGTGGGTTAGAATCATATTGACTAGAAAGAGAGTCTGTATCAAAAGAAGGTGTAAAGAAAGACTGATCATCAAATTGCCCGTGCATATTTTCAAATAATGGTAAAGATATATTTTCAGGAAATATTTGATTAACGTATTGCATGGTAGGTGAAGTTTCTTGAATGGGTTGCGAAGAATTTGTTACATTAATTAAATGAATCATATCACAAGATGATAAATCAGATGATTCAGAACTACGGCGTGAAGGAGAGATGGGTGGCAAACAAGTTTCATTTATGAAAGATTCATTTATGATTGTCCAATCAACAAATTGTCCATCAAAAAGTACTTGTTGACCTTGTTTTGCTAAAGTTTTTGCTAATGTATTCGTTAATGTATTATCATTATCATCTTGTCCTACAGATTTATTTGTATTGTTGGTAGAGATATCATAACTTTCAGGAAGCCATGAAGGTTCAAGTTCAGGGGAAGATGAATTTGTTTGTACATTTGAATTATGTTCACATTGTTCAAAAAAATATGATTGAGAAGGAGTACCGAGAAAAGTAGGATTATAATCAGTGAAATAACCATCATTATATTGATTTTCAATTTGAAGATTAGGATCAATATCAGAACGAGGATTATCGGCATCTCGATCATTTTCAGGTAAAGATAGTAAATCACAACCTTGACCTTGGTTGCTGGAATCTTTTGGCATTGCGATTGTTTGTACATACAACCTTTCAGCTTCACTTGAGATTTGAGTATAAGCATCTTTTACACAAGGAGGTTCTTGTTTCCAAGAATAAGAAATCATTGGGGATAACTCGGTCATAGGAAAATTAAGGCCACTAGCTTTTAAAAACTGAACGTATTCATTTCTATACATAATAAAAGCATTTGGAAACCTTGCCAGCTTAGGTTTTGATACAAGTTTTTCAACAATTTTTTCTACACGAGTAGCTGGAGGATAAGGTAAAGGCAGGGGGGGTAAAATTGGTCGCTCCCTGTGAATATCGAGTTTGATCTTTTGTTCCCCACGTTGAAATAATTTTATTTTTTTCTGGGTTTCTGTACGCTTGTTTTGCAGCTTTTTTACTTGAGTCATTATTATGTTTTAGGTGAGCAACAAAAAAAAAAAAAGAAAAAAGAAAAGTATGGTTGTTTAAAAGGAAAGCATCCATAAAAAATGCCTAATAGATAAACGCAACAAGATTTTAAAATATACATTTTTTTTGACGTTTTATGTAAGTTTTTTTTTTTTTTGTTTGTATATATTGTGTGCATAAATTTTTTTTAAATTACACACAAAAAAAAAAAAAAAAAAAAAAATTAATGAATTATTAACTTAATAAAAGGAGCAAGTACTCTCTAAAAACAATTGTAGTGTTTGCTTGTAATGTGGGGGCAAAATCATATCATTATAGATATTCTTTGCAATTATTGCACGAATCAACGGTACATAAAGCGTAAACCGGCAAAAAATTTCAAGGCAAATAACACACTATTTTTAGACAAATGAATTTATATTTATGAATTTCTTTCTAAAAATAGATGTCGATCAATTTCCTTTTTTGGAAATTTATATCACATAATAATCTCATTTAGCTATTATTTAGTATTAAAAATATTACATTAAAAAACATTATATATATTTTACAATAATCGGAATTGAAAATAAACAATTGCTTACATATGTACGTACGTACGTACGTACGAGGATTATCTAGCATAAACCATTTTTGTATTGCAAATTATCACAAGTTTATATAGTTTATATAGTTTATATAGTTTATACAGTTTATATAGTTTATACAGTTTATATAGTTTATATATGCGTGTAATCTAAAAGAAAATAAACATCACATAATTTACATAATTTACATAATTTTAAATCAAAATAAACGAATAAATTTGTTCTAAATATACTTATTGGCATAATAATATCAATCAAATTAAAAGTTACAGCCTTTGGCAACAGTGCATATAACTATACCAAAAAGATTAATTGCCATCCGATATTTTAAACTCCTTGTTAAATGATGTTCCGAACAGAATATTGTGTTCACTCAACTCAAAAATTGAACAATGACCTATTAATAGGTTATTTATATAAAAAAAAAAAAAAAGGGGGCTGTAGCCGGGCTGTGTCCGGATGTTTTTATCGCCTTAAGAAGAAATAAAAGAAATAAAAGAAACTGAAGAACAAAAGAAACTGAAGAACAAAAGAAACAAAAGAAACAAAAAAGAAACAAAAGAAATAAAAGAAACTGAAGAACAAAAGAAACAAAAGTAACTGAAGAAACTAAAGAAACGCGAGAATAGAATTTGTGAATTCTAATGACAAAGATTATCCCGACCTTCTTATCATTCTGTCTAGATAAGGCCCAAACAATTTTTTGCTATTACACAACCTTGAAAGTGATGTTAAACACGACATTCGTCTAACCTGTTACAGATCATAATGAAGTATCACAAAAAAGGAAAAATAAAATTTATTTATAGCTTTTTGAATCCATGAGTCACATTCACGTCACATGCGTCAACTATCATTTATTTATCATTTTCAAATGTAATTAACTGACAAGTTTTGATCTCCGACGTGATTTTCGAAACAGTCCGCTTCGATATAAAACTGTCACACAAAAGTTTTTTAACGTCCGCTTCGATATAAAACTGTTACACGAAAGTTTTTTAACGTCCCTTTTTTTGGTTAATATTATAATTAATTTATTCGTATAACTAACATTATTAACATAACATAATACAATCCAATTGTAGAAAACAACCATTTTTCTGTACATGTTTGTTGTCGAAACATTTTCCTTTTATGGTATACAGTGTATCTTTGATCTACGTTGTCCTATCTCCACGTGCCTTTAAAAAGCAATCTATAATTTCCTGTATTCATTACAGATTTAAAAAAAACCTATAGATACGCACTTACGTACGTACGTACTTACGTACAGTAGATTCGTACGCACGGTAGATACGCACAGTATGTTACCTCATGAAACAATGTTAGTTTACCGTTTTTGTGATTTTTTGTGCATTTTGCATGTATAGGTTAAATGCATTTAACCATCATTTTAATTTTATGGAAAATTTTCGATTTTATTATTGTTTACTATCTGCAGTAAATTATGTTCATTAATCTATTTTTGAAACAAAAAAAACACGTCTATTTAATATTATGTGTTATATTATATGTCAAATACAAAATCATAACAAAATTTTACACAAATTTATCAAGAATTTAAATTGTATATTTTTTCCTCAATAACCAGTAATTAAAATTAAAATTATTTATTTATTATCTATTTATTATCGATTTATTATCTATTTATCTATTATTTATTTACTCTTTTTTTTTTATTTACTTGTATGAATGAACCTATTTTTAGATTATGGGTTATTTATAGATTTTACTTTTCAATTTACAATTTTTTATTTTCATTTTTTTTCATTTTTTTAGCATTTCGTATAATATCATAATGAATGCTCCTTGTAAAAAAAATATAGTCTTTGCCGATAAAGTTGAAAGATGAAAAAATATGGAATTTTATTCTAACATCAAATTTCCTTAATAATACTACAGTAATAATACTAATTTTTATTTATTTATTTATTATTTTTTCGTTATTAGATTATTATTAATTCTAATGAATCATCAATTTTAGATGTATGTAACGCATATGTACGTGCACGATAATTTATTTGACAGCAATATTATCTCATTTAGATCCAATCAAATTGTTTTTATATAAAGATAAAGATAACGATATTACGTCATATGTATGTATGTGCATATACGAATGTATTTTAAGATTACTCTAGGATTATTCTGGGATTACTCTAGGATCATTCTAGGGATCATTCTAGGATTCAACAATAATTTCAACATATTTGTTAATAAAAAATACATCTTACAACCCAACTTTTATAAATATTAAATCGTAAAAATAAATTTCGAGTTAAAAGCATTGATAAATTTTTATCTAAAACATCAATTTCAAATAAAGATACATATATATATATATATGTTGTAAGTGGTAATGAAATTTAAGTATTCTGGTTAGAGTATACAGTACCTAAAATTATAATTTTCTAAATTCTGTTCCTGCTTGCATATATAGAGGTAATATGATTTTTGATATGTTAACTTTTTATTGTAAGTAATTATTATAAACCAGATTTCGTAATTTGGCATTGCCAGTAATGTGTTGAAACGGTGTATATGTTGCATCTAAAGTAGCTACCCTATTTAAAGCATCTTATTCAAATATTTATTTAAAGTAGCTACTTTAGATATATCAAATAAATACTTTAGATATATAAAGTGGCTACTCTAGACAGAGTGGCTACTTTAGATGCAACATGTATAAACTGTTAACTAAATCTTAAATCTGGTTAGCTAATATGAATACCGTCGAAAATTATACATCTTTACTGAACCTAAGTCCCTAATGCTAATCCGCGTATATAATATGTAATCGAAAGCACATATATTTCCAGCGGTTAATCGCGTCGCTTAACTATAAGCTACACAATTAATAATCAATCGTTTATCCGTTTAACTGTTTATTACTTACTCAGTGCTTTTAAACAACCTAATGAAACTTTGAGTTGACGTCATAAATAATGAACTTCACAGTCGAGATTAAATAAGTTTATGCGGCTTGTTTTTACCTTATGTTAGTGATAAACGCTTATAGATTAACCCTAAAGATTTCATTACACCTGATCTTTAGATATAATTGGATAAAAATCACGAGGTGGAAATTTTCATCTAGCGAAACATGTTTGTCCCGCATAACGAGCGGATTTTTTCGCTTTGGTGATTATTAAAAATTAATGATAATATTTTCCAATTATTTATGTGATATTGCATGATCTCCGGTAAAATAGAATTGATATTTCTGTAAAACCAAATCGTAAGGTTGTATTTGATTGGTCAATTACTTGCCTTGACGATTATTCCACTTATGAATCGCTTATGAAACCGCATAATAATTATAAATAATCATTTATTTAATTGGTCAATTGCTTTTCTTAACTGTAAATTGCTTATGAAACTCATCATGAAACTGCATAATATTTATAAACCATTACGTATACGTATCACTTGATTTTAATCATCACAATATTCCCATCAAAAATTTTCGCCCGTATGGTGAATAGAATCCAGTTCATATCGACTGATCCCAAAATCAACCAATTATAATCGCTTAAAATTATTACAAAGCAAACTTTCATAAAGATGTGATCACATGTTTTTGTAATGATGATCGGGGAAATTGCTGAGATTTTGATTGTCTGTTGTAGAGATTGGCAAGGTAATAATGTAAGCAATAATTACCCAATACTTACGTTTTGTAAATGTAATCTGGAAAATTTAAACTCAACGATCCGCTGATCAGGTTGCGATTTTGCTTATCATAATTCTTTATTTATTACGTATTACGCTTATTACGCAAAAAAGCTAAAAGACATAATCGGAAATAAATATGTTACTAAACTTGCCCATCTCTAGTCTGTTGTTTTAATGACATCGTGACCTGCAGAGGTCACATCTTTTTGCAAAGCACAATAAACTAATTATGTCGAAAATTATAATAACTACGTATTTAATTATATGCCAAAAGTATAGTTAAAAAGGTCAAATTTTGGAAATTCGCTTCCAAATTCGCCCTTAATAGTTAACCAATCCTAAAATACCCGAATATATCAACAAACGGTAAAAGTACAACTTAGCTGCTTTATTCAATTTTTTATTTTTTAAAAAAATTCTTAGCATTCGGAGCAAAAAATTTGTGTAACTTTTGGCCCAAAAATCAAAATCGGCCGTTATCATCGTTATGTAATAATCATTATGTAGATATGTCACCGCATATTTTTTTGGTCTTCACAATGAGGCATTAAATGATCATTAAATGATCATTGAGAGGCATTAAATGATCATTGAACGATTAATAAAATTTAAAACCGATTAATCATATGAAAGTGTAAAATTTAAAACCAGATAATTTAAAAAACGGTTAAGCTTATTCGTTTAACCGAATAGTATAAATGATTATAGGTGGTTAAACGAATAACGGTTCCAAACCT